TATACAAACCCAAGTTGTTTCTTTATTCCATTCTAATGGTTTAATATTTATTCGAAATAGGGCATCATTCTATATCTAGCAAACTAATTATTCTGGAGTTACAAAAATTACAATGAACAACTAATAATATTAGGAATTTACTGTAAAATTTTCAAAACTAACACTATCACTGTTTTGCCACAAAAATTCCTACAAGTTTATGTATTATTAAAACTAAGCATTTTAAAATAATTATGGCAGCCCTAAAATAATACGAAATTATATGAACAAAATATACTAACAGGTAGACCATGATTTTAGAAACTTAACAAGATTGGTTTCACAATTTTTGGTTAACTACATAAATTTGTATTGAATTTACAAGTTTGCTTCAGCAACTAAATTCAAAAACATTAATCAACCTTCTGAAAAAGGAAAGGGCTCCGCGGCCCGGCGCGGCCTGCAAAGGGGTGGCCCACGTGAAGACGCGGCCCACACGCGGGGAAGGCCCGCGCGACTTCGCTTTTTACAAAAGAGTCCTCACGCTTTCTCTGAACTACAATGAAATCCAAACCCTATTCCTCCCTCTCTCTGACCTTCGCGCTTAACCCCCTGGCGTTCTCTTAATTTCTTCATGCACACCCCCGAAGCAGGGTGCACGGCGGCGCGGCGAACACGGGCACCAAGCGGCCACGCCAGCCATCTAGGGTTTGCTCAGGCCCAATCGACGGGCCGATCTCCGTCTACGGCTAAACCCGTAGAGATAGCTGGCGGTCGGGTGCTCAGAGACACACCGTCGTGGTCTACCGCGGCAGGCGGCGATCCACCACGACGGTGAGCCCATTCAGGCGAGGCTACGTGCTAACGTCACGATAGAGATCGCGCAGGAGCGATAGGAAGTTACCACGAAGTCGTCCGCGCCACCAATTGAGATGGATAAGGTTGGGGAAGTCCTGGCCACGTGCGACCGCTCCACATGGCGGTGCTCCGTGTGTGGCACCATCATGTGACCGCGTCGATGACGAACCACCTGGCCAAGATAGTGTGAGCACCAGGTGAGGGGACCCAAGGCGAGTCTAGGAACACCACCAATTGGAGTTCTTACCCTCGGGTTGCGGTTTACCCCTAACTCCTGACCGCGGCGGCGTAAGCGACCGGCGGCGACCAAAACTCCAATTTGGCCACCCCCGGCTCCCCAGCGCCTTGATGCGGTTCGGTCAGCTAACTGGCTCCTAAGCCAAGCTGCCGAGGCGCTGAATTGGTTAGAAGGCCATGTCTGCGCATTAAATCCTGGGGGAAATGGCGCGGTGGGTGATGGCCCAGAGCGGCAGTCGCGGCAAGGGACTGACCGTGACTCGACGAGACGCTACGACACGGGGACACGACTACACGGTGAAGGCAGGAGCGTGTCGACTAGTGCTAGGATGAAACCGAACTGGTGCCCACGCGGGGTAGGTACAACGAGGGGCGGAGAAAACGCCACGAAGAACCGATGGTGGCCGCCGTGGCCTCAGCTCGGCCTGCGTGCGGCCAACCACAACGGGTCGGCCAACGGGCAGAGACCACAACCAAAGCAGCCAACGGCAGCGGCGCGCTCGTGTGGCGACTGTAGGGCAACGGGCAAAGGTGTGCGCGGCACACGCGTGCGGCGCGCCCGAGCACGACGGCGAAACGTCGTGGACGCGGTGACCACGGCCACAGAGCTGAACGGCCGAAACCAATGTTGTGCACACTTTTTAAAGCTAAACGAGAACTGCTAACGACCACAGTTTGGGTTCAACTCAATCTCCTAACCTAAAGTCAATTATACCAGCTACCCAGCAAAACCATCGCAAGGACCCGAGAGCCACCCGAGAGGGAGATAGGAGGATGCCAAGGTGGGTTCGTCAAGCTGGGCGCTGGTTCGCGAATCGAGCAGCAATTCGTGGTCCGCAGCGCGTTCTAACGAAGTTAGGCAATTTCTACGAGAGTGTCGTGACACCCATCGCCACCTCGACCTACACCGTTCTCAAGTGCTCATTTCGATGCAACCGACGGTGCAAAAACATGAAGTTGGTGTTTAGGAAATTTTTATGGATATTTAAATGTCGAAGTAGCATTGTCTATCATCTTTTTAGACTTAAAAAGAATTCAAGGTTCTAAGTTAGAACTAACACTCCCTAGCATTTTTGGTTGAATTTTTAAATGGTCTAAGCCTCGTCAATCTCAACTAAACAACATGTCATGACCTAGCTCATACTTCGTGCTAACTCATAGAAATAAACATCTAGGAATTATTTAACCCGTTTGTTCAGTACAATTCGCCAAAGATCGATACTTTTAACATAAACTCAAGTTCCTACTGATTCCCGACGAGCTCTCGTTCTAAATTTCGGATTTGATTCCCAAGCTATCAGATTTACTATTAAACAACTTCCACTCACTAAAACAAAAGATGCATTCTCATCTACTAACTTGCACTTCAAATTTTTATTTAAGTACTAAATATAAGTTATATTTTATTTTGTTTACAAAAATTGTTTTTCGTGCCAAACGATTAAAACTACCCGTCTATTTCCTTGTCGGGATTTTCATTAGCACCTTTATGCGAGCTTTAACTCTAACACCCGAGAAACTCGCCTTGCTAATTTCTCTTAGGCCTTAATCTAGGTGCTAAGTGAGCTCATAACACCAGAGGTGTTACACTAGATAAACATGTGTACGTGGAAGCAGGAATAGCAGAAGGTGCGTGGGAAGGGAGACGTCTCGTGCAGGAAGGAGGCGCGGAAAGTGTGGTATTTTCCGATATTGAGCGAGACTACCTGTCCATTTTTAGCCAGCGATCTCTACGGAATGGACAGCGAGTAAATTTGCAAACGGGCTTAGAGAGTCTGTTAGAGATGATTTTGAGCCCATATTAGCTATATATGGCTTCACTTATCCTTTTAACTAGTATGTTGGAGTTGCTCTTAGCTAGTTAGCTTTAATTTGTTATCGCCCCACAAGGTAAGCTGGTAAGGCAGTAGTAGATGATGTAGTGACCAGTGAATCAGCTTTATTTTGTTACACAGCTTGTGATTGTACAGCTTGCTTGCTACCCTGCTGGTTCCCGCAAATGAAGTTTCTTTCAGTCGATTAATACTTTTGTATAGTTTATTGCTTCATTCTGTATAGTCGATTAATCCCTCTGTACAAGTTCTCACAATTCGAAATTCAAATTTGTCAAACCACCTCGGATGACAAAACGACCAAAACCAAAGTTGCAGATCTATATGAAAACTACAACTTTGTCGTGGATGATTTCTTTTTTCATTTGAATTTGTTTAGGGTCCCAAATATTGATTTCAAAATCTTGAAAAGTGAATACGAGAGAAATATATATGCACTTTAGACACTAGTGACTTTGACGTAGAGTGCTTAGAGGAGCTACATGCGAGGGCACAGATCTTGGGTTCAGATCCTGCCGGTGTACTTTTGCGTGAAATTAAAAAAAATCATGTGACTTGTGTGGGGACTTTGTGGGATTAAAAAATTTGATTTTTTGGCCCGATTGTAGGACTTCTCGAAATCCCCTTGACCACACAGGTTCATGAATACCTTGTAAGTTCAGAAAATTCGTTCGGTTGTGCCAACACTTAAATTCACTGTTTAGAAATTCCAGCTTCTTTACTTGTCAACCAATCTATTGATCTTGCTACTAGATGTCTTACTTTGAAATATGTCCCTGTTTTCACATTTTTTTTCCTTGTGAATGCAGAGGATTTGGCATTGCCTCACCCAGATGTTGATGCAACTTAGAGGAGCACACAAAAGCAAGATTTTTGATAACAAAGTCACCTATGTCTCTAGGATTTGCTCAAAAACAAAAAACAAAAAAAATCTATGTCTCTAGGAGCAGATTGTGTTGGCGAACTGGTTGACCTTGTTCCCTTTGCATGCCTAAACGGCTAAACCAAAGGAGAAGAGTGAAGAGAGAAAAGAAGACCTGCAGCATACTGTAAGAATATTAAGAATTATTATTAATAACATATATAATTAATTAGGTGGTAATTATTAACCTTATCCATTGGCTCCGTAGAGTATCTCCAAGAGTCTATCTAAAATTTCCACTCTAAATCATAATTTGGAGAGTCATTTGAGTAAAATTCGTTTTCTATATCTTTGTACCCTCTAACAGTTTTTCTATATTTTGTGCGCACTCTAGACATGAAAGTCCTAGTTTACTTTTCGTAATTGAGTGGCAACTAGTGGACTAACATTTGTCTTATGTGTTGTTTGAGCTAGGTGATGTCCACACCCAGAGTTCCGTGCTTTCAAATAAAAGTACATCTTTTTCTACTTGTAACACTGATGGAATTAAGCACTATGTATCTCTTCCATACTAAGCACTAGATAATTGTGATAGCTTTTGCCCTTGAGAGAAGAGATACACTAACGTTTTGTTTACATGGTTTTTTCAGAGTAATGGAAATAAGAGCATTTTCTAACTTTTAATTACGAATTTAAAGATTACTTATTATAATTTGTATCGATGTCTATTCTATCCCTAATAATAATAATATGAAGAGACAAAAATTTCCGACCATCTTTTTTTCGTCCACCCTCCCTAACTAACTTTGTGAATGCGGAAACTATGTATGTTCGTTTCCCTATAGCCCTCCTGATATATATGCACGACTTGAATATATGTTCTTGAGGATAGTTAGAATCCTAATCCAAGTAGTCGTTTCGGTGCCTTGCTATTTGGCTTGATTCCACCTTCCGACAACCAAAGAGCAACCGAAGGAAATAAACACCGCCGAGCATGAAGACCGGGCCTCCGCACGTGGCCATGCTGGCGACGCCGGGGATGGGCCACCTGATCCCGCTCGCGGAGCTGGCCAAGCGCCTGGCGTCGCGGCACGGCGCCACGGCGACGCTCATCACGTTCGCGTCCACGGCGTCCGCCACCCAGCGCGCGCTCCTCGCGTCCCTGCCGCCCTCCGTCGCTCCCGCCGGTGGACCTCTCCGACCTGCCCCGCGACGCCGCCATCGAGACGCTCATGTCCGAGGAGTGCGCGCGCTCCCTGCCCGCGCTCACGCGCATGCTCTCGGAGCTCAGGGAGACCACCCGCCTCGTCGCGTTCGTCGCCGACCAGTTCGGGATGGACTCGTTCGACGCCGCGCGCGACGCCGGCGTGAGCACGCGCTGCCTCTTCATGCCCATGAACCTGCACGCGCTCTCGCTCGTTCTCCGCCTCCCGGACCTCGCGGCGTCCGTCTCCGGCGAGTTCCGGGACCTCGCCGAGCCGGTGCGCCTGCCCGGCTGCGTGCCCGTCCCGGGCTCGGACATACCCTCGCCGCTCCAGGACAGGTCCAACCCGTGCACCTCGCCAAGCGCTACCGTGAGGCTGATGCCATCCTCGTCAACTCCTTCGACGCCGTCGAGCCTGAGGTTGCCCAGGTGCTCCGCCAGCCAGAGCGTGGCCGGCCGCCTGTGTACCCTATCGGCCCGCTGATACGGCAGTCCGGAGTGATTCCACCATCATCTCCGCCGCGTGCGGCGTGCCTGGAGTGGCTCGACCGGCAGCCGGCCAGGTCGGTCATCTTCGTCTCGTTCGGCTCCGCCGGCGCGTTGCCAAAGGAGCAGACGCACCAGCTCGCGCTTGGCCTGGAGCTCAGCGGGCAGCGCTTCCTCTGGGTGGTGCGCAGCCCCAGCGACGAGGGCACGCTCAGCGACAACTACTACAATGCAGAGAGCAACAAGGACCCCTTCGCCTACCTCCCGGAAGGATTCCTGGAGAGGACAAAGGACGTCGGTCTCCTGGTGCCGTCGTGGGCACCGCAGACACAGGTGCTTGCCCACATGGCCACCGGAGGCTTCCTGACGCACTGTGGGTGGAACTCCACGCTAGAGAGCCTGGTGCACGGTGTGCCGATGCTGGCGTGGCCGTTGTTCGCCGAGCAGCGGCTAAACGCGGTGATGCTGGCGGAGGGGGTCGGAGCTGCGATACGGCTGCCCGAGCGGAAGGATAAGGAGACCATCGCATCGGTGGTGAGGGAGCTGATGGTAGGGGAAGGGAAAGGAGCCATGGTGCGGGTGAAGGTGGCCGAGCTGCAGAATGCTGCGGCAGAGGGACTCCGTGACGGTGGTGCCGCCACGACGGCACTTGATGAGGTGGTGGAGAAGTGGGAGGCAGAAGCGAACTAGAAGGTGCCCATATATGAGGCCATCACCACTTAGCAATGCAATCCTGAGTTATCAGCGTTCGTGTTCTTTCAGATTCCTTAATTATATGTATGCATTGATTAAGTTTACAAGAGAGGACCAGTTCGTACATGTGAAGGGTTTGAGAGATTCGTGATGTTTATTTCATCTTCACTTGTGTGGTCATGTTCAATAAGCATTGGAATATGCCCATAGAACATGCGTCGTCATAGATTACTTTACCGCCGTCATAGATTTCTGACATTTCATCTCTTCATCAGAAATCTAATTTATCGATGTTATGGATACAATAATAGGATGGCAATTGGTTGTACTTCTTTTGTTGTGATATAGTTTTAGGCAACTCAGGAACTTCTCGTGTTTGAATTGGCCTTTCAGTTTATAAGTATAAATGGGTGAAACCACTATGTGGGAAAAGAAAAATGGTGGAACTATTTTCTGTGGTTTCATTTGTTGTAACAAATGATGATCAACTACTTACAAAAAGCTTGTGTTCATGGGATGATGATGTCATGATGATTATTACAAATGATGACCTCGATCGCATGCATCGGCATATCGTCCTGTATGGCAGTCCGGACACCAGCGGATCGATCGATCTACTACTAAACTGCGCGTGCCAGGCTGAATTTCAGCCAAGAAAGCAATAATGAAGGCAAACAACTACAAGAGCCTCTTTATATCCTCTCTCTTTTAACTCCCTTTTTATTTGGAATAGGATTCTTATTTTATATTACTCGGTATTGAAACATGAGGGTGGCCGACAGATGCGAACAGAGACAAGTTTCCACATTCACAGAGTTAGTTAGAGAGGCTAGACGAAAGAAATTTAAAAAAAATGATGCGAACAAAAAAGAAATTTTGACACCAACAGAGACAATTTTCCACGTTCGTGTGCCTGAAATAAAGCAGCTAAAGAACAAAATTTTAAAAACGCCTGTATATATACCGTAGCTAAAGAACAAAATTTTAAAAACACCGAAAAGCTTTCCCTACTCGATCAAGTAGTACGTAGTGCCCTAGCTAGCTACTTCTCTGCACGCGCTGCCTTAATAAATCGATCTTAATGGCCCTACCTCAGTCGTCGTCCCCGATCTGAACCTCCTCGTAGGCGCACCCGTTGTTGGTGTACTGCAGTATCAGGTCATCGACGACGCGCTAGCCTTCTCGTAGACCCTGATCAGCTGCTTCTCCCCTGGGTCATTGGGCCTAGGTTTCCACGCTGGGGAGTAGAGGTGGCGAGGGGCGCACGCCTTCTCCCACATGATCTAGAGGATGAGGTCCTCGGGCACCTCCACCAGCTTCGTCTTCCTCATCTCCGTCCCCGCTGGCTTGGTGTTGATCTTGATAGGCACGTATGCCGCCGCCGTCTTGTTGTTGTTGCCGCCGCTTGTTCGTCTTCCCCTCTCCGCCATCTTGCGCGCGAGGCGGCCGATCTCCGCCATCTTGCGCGCGCGGTCGAGCAGCGGCGTCGGGGCTTGGGCTGCTTGGTCATGGCCTTCCATCTTGCGTGCGCAGTCGAGCAGCGCCGTCGGGGCTCGGGTTTATTTGGTCGTGGCCTCGAGGGAAGGCCAGGGCGTTGCTATATATTGCCCGGAACCGCTAGCCTAGCTAGCTAGGGTCGTCTCTCCTCGAAAGGTACAACGAACTCGACTTGGACTTTTGACTCCCGTACCGCAGACAGTACCCGGAAAGGATCTTCCGGGGTCGTATCGGCCACCAACACCGCAAGCCGTAAATTATTTCCTTTTATAAGAGGTAAGCTACACCGACTCAAATAGTTAGAGGAAGTAAATTGAATAAAATATTAATTTTAGGGGTTATCTCAACATAGACCATACTTGAGGACAATAGTCCTGATTTTTTTCTAATGATGAAAAATGCAAACGCTAACCCACACTCCTCTCTCTGAATCCCTCATCCATGCCGCGCCACTCTCCTCTCTCCCTCACCCTCCTCACACGCCCTGGCAGCAGAGTGCCACATGCCCCGATAGCTCTACGTACGCCCCAGCGGTGGAGGACGTCTCCCGGCGATGAGATCCCGCTTCCTCTCCCTCTCTATCCCCTTCCATCTACCCCGCCGCGGACACGGCCACCTGCACGGACGACGGCTCCGGCCGCGTCGCCTTCGCCTGCAACGTCGTGGACACGACCGGCCGCGCCACGCCCGCCATGGGCGCCCCGGACGCGCCCTCCTCCTTCTGCTCTCCCGTGGACGCAGCCATCGGCTGCGCCTCCCCGGTCGACGCCGTGGCCGCCCCAGCACCACTCCCGCTCACCTCCGGCGCAGCGCCAGCCGGCTCCAGGCGCGTCTGCCGGAGGAGGCCCTTCTTCGGCGCAAGCCGCAGGAGAGTCCCATGTCCTCCGACACTGCAAGGGATATGGCGATCAATTCACGGCAAAATTTCGTTAGGACAAAAAGATGAGAGAACTCTTAACTCACCCTGACGCCATCATGCGAGGATGTTTTGGGGCCGGCCTGCCCAACCCCGGCTGCTCCTCGTCATCACGTTGCTGCTTCGAGCCCTCCCTCGACTCGGAGGGCTCGGACGAGGTGGAGCGGTCGATCCCCACCGATTCCGGGGGCGCCGTGGAAGGCCCGGACGGAGCGGGGCGGCTTGATTCCGATGGCTTCGGGGCCGCCATAGAAGGCCCAGACGGAGCGGAGCGGCCGCCTCCCGCCGACTCCGGGGGTGCCACGGAAGGCTCGGACGGAGCGGGACGGCTCGCTTCCGCCGTCTCTGGGGGTGTGTCCCCCCTCTTGCCCCGAAAGATGCCATGCGAAGGGCCCCGCCTGCGACGAAGGTGGGTCCTCGTCCCCGGCAGCCAGATCATCCCACGGGATGGGTGACCCAGAGCCGTCGCCCTCCTCCTCCTCCTCCTCTTCTTCTTCTTCTTCTTCCTCCGACGAGCCTTGGCGCCGCTTCCCCCGCTGCAACTTCGCTTGCTGCTTCGCCCGCCGTTTCTTCCCCTTGTCGTCCTTCTTCTTCTTCCTCTGTTCATCCGTGGCACAGTTCGCCGCCCTCACGACCGCGTGCTCTGGAAGCGGCGCGACGGAGTCCCGGAAGCCTAACCTCGTCGGCAACTCGATGAAGCCCGCGTCCGGCCGCATCACGGGATGTCCCGGGATCGGGAACACGGCGTCGGCCTCCCCTGTGGCCTCCTTGATGCGCTGCGCGACCTCGCTGTCGCGGAGCGGTCCCTAGGCGAGCGTCGTCCCGTCGAGCTACGTGCCGAGCGTCATCCCGTACAGCGGCGCCACCCTCCTCGCGTGATACCCCCCGATGACACCGGCCCCGCGGAGGCCGTGGGTCTTTAGGAACGCGATGGCCTCGAGGAGGTCATGCATCCTCTTCTTCTCCTTGACGGGTGGCCCCCACGGCCACGACGGCGGCGCCACTTCGACCAGGCGCCCGGTGAAGATCGGCAAGGGGGCGGCAGGGTCATTCTTCAGGTAGAACCAGTACGAGTGCCACCCCTTGTTGGATCTAGAGAGCCCGCTGCCCCCAGAGGTGGATGCCCGTGCATCCCATCAACACCGGGGTCTCTCGGCCTCTCTCCTTCTTCTTCATCAAGGAGATGGAGAAGAAATATCTCCACAGCTCGAAGTGGGGCTCGATCCCCAGGTACCCCTCGCACATCGTGATGAAGGCCGCGATGTGCTGGATCCCGTTGAGGTTCAAGTGCTGTAGCTCGATCTGATAGTGGTGCAGCAGACCCTAGAAGAACAGGTGGGGAGGAACCCCGAGTCCGCGCTCGTGGAAGGGCGCAAAGGAGACGACATAGCCGTCGGGCGGCGACGGCGCATCCTCACGGCCGGGCACGAGCCACTCCGCTGTGGGGTCGAGATAGCGGACTAGAGGGGGGGTGAATAGTCTTTTCTAAAATTAATCGCGTCGGCTAACCGATATAAATGCGGAATTAAAACAATCGGTCTAGCCAAGACTACACCCCTCTATATATGTTCACTAGCACCTTGCAAAGATACTAATAAAGCAACTAAGGTGCCGGGCTAGCTAGAGCTCTCCTAAACAATTCTAGGAGCAAGGTCACACAAACCTATGCCACTAGTACTTTAAGTAACAAGGGAGCTCCTACACATGCTAGTAAGCAAAAGCACAAAGCTAACTAAGCTCACTAGCAATGCTCAATAACAAGGCAACCAACGCCTAATTCGAGAGTGCAAATACTTAGCTACACAAACTAAGCAATGTGACTAACAAGGTTACTAAAACTAAATTAGCCACGCAAGTGAGCTACTTCTATGCTACACAAGCAAGAAGGTAATTAGCTAGCTACACAAGCTATCTAATTACAAGAGCAACTACACAAGCTTAAGATATATATATAAGTAATTGCAAGCTTGTGTAATGGGGATGCAAACCAACGGGAAGAATAAGGTTGACACGATGATTTTTCTCCCGAGGTTCACGTGTTTGCCAACACGCTAGTCCCCGTTGTGTCAACCGCTCACTTGGTGGTTCGGCGGCTAATTAGCATCACCCGCTAAGCCCGCACGTCGGGCACCGCAAGAACCTACCCCTTGAGTGAGGGTAGCTCAATGACACGCTTTACTAAAGTTGCTCTTCGCGACTTCCGCGGGGCGAGCACAAGTACCCCTCACAAGCACTTCTCCGGAGCGCCGCACAAGCTTCTTGCGGGCTTCGACGGAGACCACCACCAAGCCGTCTAGGAGGTGGCAACCTCCAAGAGTAACAAGCACCACCGGCTCGCAACTCGATCACCTAGTGCCACTCGATGCAACCTCACGATGCAATCGCACTAGAATCGCTCACTCACACAATCGGATGATCGCTATCAAGTATATGAGTGATGGAGGGCTCCCAAGCACTCACAAGCATGGACACTAAGTCCCTTGAGGTGCTCAGCACCAGCCATGGCCGAGGGCCACTTCTATTTATAGCCCCAAGGGCTAAACTAGCCGTTACCCCTTCATTGGGCAACGGTCGGGCCGACCGT